GTCCGCGGCCAGGTCCCCCCGCCGGCTCGCGCCGCGGCCTCTCTAGGAGCCGCTGGAGGTGGAAACTCGTTGGCATTAACCCTGGGCTGGAGGGGCCCGGCCTCGGGGTGGGCGAGGACCTGACACCCCGGAGCCCACCGGGCTACCGGGGCAGTATGTGTGCCTATGTTCTAGGTCCCCGTCCCTCCAAAGGCCCGTCTGTCCATCTCCCTGGCCCTGCGTTGTCGGTGCGTGTGGCCAAGGGCGAGGCGACAAGCGAGACCAAGGTCAGCGAGAAGGAGCGACGCTTCCCGGCGCCAGCGGGGGCGGTGTCTCTCTTCCTCCCCTCCCGGGCCTCCGGGTCAGCTCCGGCAGCGCCTCGGGAACCGGGACGGACTACCCTTGGCCTCGCCGAGGTCCTGGAGCCTGGGACCCCCTCCTGGAACTCCGCTCCCCCGCACCTGCGCGCCCGCTCCCGTTCCTCCGGTCCCCACCCCGCTCGGCTCTCCTGATCCCCCTCCTCCCTCCTAGAGGGCTAGGATAGTTGCCAAGGAGACAGCCCCGCCCCGGCTCCCAGAGGCACCGCTTCTCCGCGCCAGGAAGCCTGGCGGTTGGCCGATGGGGCTCGTGCTCTAGCCGCCCCGCCTCCTCCAACCCCGCGGACCGCGGGGCGTTAATGGTCGCCAGGGAACGCCAGGCGCCTTCCTGATTGGCCGGGGGCGCTCTGGTCGGGTCCGCCTCCCCTGTCGGCCAGAAGCCCCTGCAGGAGGTAGTGGGAGGGAGGTGTCAGGCGTCTCCCATCCAGCCGGGCCTGTGCCTTCAAAACTTTTCCCGCCCCTACTTAACCTCTATTATGTTTTATGAAAGCCAGAAGATCTGAGAACAGACACCCTTCCTCCTCGTCAGCCTCACACCCCTTGCCTCTCCCCTCCACCTTCCCCAGCGCCTGAGTTTAACTCAATCCCTGGCAGCCTTTGTCCCTGGTTGCTGGATTTCCTCACAGGGAGGCAGGATTCCTTCCAGGTGAGGGTGATACAGAGGAGAATTGGACTGAGAGAACCATCTGGCCTTCGAGGCATCATCTAACAATTCTCCAGTCTTGTCTGACTCGAATGGAGGCTTGCAGAGGAAGGGAACCTGAGAAACACTGCCTCGGGTGCAGCTTTGAATTGAGGAAGTGAGCCTGGACAGACAACTTAATATCATCCAATTATTGTCTTTTTTTCTACGCTTCGTGCTGAAACAAGTTTGGCAGCGTTCTTGACAGTTAATGAGCCCGATGCCCCTGTGTGATGCAGGAGCCTTGGATCGTGTTTTCTTGTCGCCTACCCAGACAAATGAAGGGAAGAGAATGTTTGGGAAGAAGGATGGCCTCTTCTTCATGAAAAGGGATGAGAACAAGAACTTGGAGAATGCCAAGTGGTAAAAAGTGGAGAGAAACTATCTAAAGGCTTACAGGCGGGGCGCGGTGGCTCATGTCTGTAATCCCAGCACTTTGAGAGGCCCAGGCAGGTGGATCACGAGGTCAGGAGTTCGAGACCAGCCTGGCCAAATTGGTGAAACCCTGTCTCTACTAAAAAATACAAAAATTAGCCAGGCGCGATGGCGGGCACCTGTAATCCCAGCTACTTAGGAGGCTGAAGCAGGAGAATCCCTTGAAACGGGGAGGCAGAGGTTGCAGTGAGCCGAGATCTCGCTACTGCACTCTTGTCTGAGTGACAGAGCAGGACTCTATCTCTAATAATAATAGTAATATAAAGGCTTACAAATAAAATCACAAGAGCTCATCCCACAAATGAAGCGGGGAAAACTTTTTGCCCTCCAGAGGAACAACTTCCAGCTCCACAGCTCTCTCCCATCCCAATGTGTTTGTCCTGAAACCTTTGCTAAGAATGGCTTACATGGTCCAGTACTAGAGTCCACAGTCAGGACAGCCTACAAGAGGACAAGTTTTGGGAAGAGCTGGACATGGGGTACTCTCTGGTCATCCCCAAAGCACTCAGGTAGGAAACAAATCTCCACAAGATATTTTTCTCTGACCTCCAACTTGCTGATCCACGAAAATTCACACAGGAGAGCAGCCACACCCTAAAAATGGGTGGTGAGACCTCCAACCACAGTTCTGACACCGTCCACTGCCTGCACTCTTATGAGCCACACGTCCCAGGTGTAGCAGAAGCTGGGCCAAGACTTCACGCTGCCCAGGCACCCGCATTTCCATGTGCAAATTCAGCCTCACTGGCACCTGGAGTAAGAGTGGCTAAGTTCCAGCCAGCCTCCTCCAGGACCAGGGTGCCATCTATGCATAGGGACTTCACAAGGAAGCCAGCCTCCACCTGACACACAGCCACAGCAGTGAGAGGCTCCAAGCCCAGTGACCCAACACCAGCTAATCCAAGGCAGGAGAAACTTGGGAGTCCACTGGCCTTGTCCTACCTCTGCATCCATGAGGATGAACCCTGCGCATGTCCTGAGTCAGGTGGTCACTTTTTCACAGCATTGTCTCCTGGCATGCACAGCACTAGGGCAGAGCCATTCAGTGTGCAGCCAAGGTTTATGGTCCAGCCAACGTGGCCAGTGCTGCAGGATAGAGAGAGCCCTCACAGACGTTCTCAGTGAGAGGAGCTTCCGTGTGCATTGCTCCCTCCCCTCATGCAAAGCACAAGCCCTCTTAAAGGCCTTCCATCTGATGCTACAGGAGATGCCCCTGTGTACTGAACATGATCCTAGGTACCCAGGAAGACAGCGGCCACGGTACAGGGCCCTTTGGAAAGAACAAAGAAATAGAAGTCTTTGTGTATGCCTGACATTGGGGACAGGCCCCGGGACCAACCACTACTCTTGCAAAACTAAGAGCAGTTTGAAAATAATGTTTTGTTCCCAGCAGTGGTTCTCTCAAACTTTCACAGGCATCAAATTCTATCCCTGGAGATTCTCATTCAATAGATGAGGAACTGGGCCCAGGGAGTAGCTACTTTTTTTTTTTTTTTTTGAGATGGAGTCTCACTGTTGCCCAGGCTGGAGTGCAGTGGCGCTATCTCTGCTCAGTGCAACCTCCGCCTCTGAGTTCAAGCGGTTCTCCTCTCAGCCTCCTGAGTAGCTAGGACTATAGGCACGTGCCACCATGCCTGGCAATGTTTTTTTTTTAATGTATCTTTAGTGGAGACGGGGTTTCACCATGTTAACCTGGATGGTCTCGGTCTCCTGACCTCGTGACCTGCCCGCCTCAGCCTCCCAAAGTGCTGGGATTACAGGTGTGAGCCACTACTCCAGCCGAGAGTAGCTACATTTTTATTTATTTATTATTTTTATTTATTTTTTTTTTGAGACGGAGTCTGGCTCTGTCGCCCAGGCTGGAGTGCAGTGGCCGGATGTCAGCTCACTGCAAGCTCCGCCTCCTGGGTTTACGCCTTTCTCCTGCCTCAGCCTCCCGAGTAGCTGGGACTACAGGCGCCCGCCACGTCGCCCGACTAGTTTTTTGTATTTTTTTTAGTAGAGATGGGGTTTCACTGTGTTAGCCAGGATGGTCTCGATCTCCTGACCTCGTGATCCGCCGATCTCGGCCTCCCAAAGTGCTGGGATTACAGGCTTGAGCCACTGCGCCCGGCCGTAGCTACATTTTTAAAAGATACTCAGCCCGGCCCTGCCTCTAGGTGGAAATATCTACACCACGAACTAAGGAGCTGAGAATGGGGTGGGGCTAAGGCTTAAGGGTTTCATGACACTAAAAAAGTTGATGAAATGCTGGAAAGTTGGGTCATGAGGGCAGGAAGCAGAGGAGTTGGAGTCTGGCTTCTGGGCCCTAAATAAGCTTTACAAACTTCAAAGCACTCAGAGACCTCTAGGTAATAATCATGGCACCTTTAATTGGCATACTCAGGGCCAAGATCTGGCTGTCAGTCTGGGCTGAGAACTGGTGTTGCAAGCTGGGCTTTCCCCAGGCTGTGTTGAGGGTTAGGGGAGGGGACTGGGATGTACACTGGGAATTAAAACCTGGTAGAAAGGTATCTCCTACTGCCAAGGTGCCTCTTCTCACCCCATGTGTCCCTGTGATAAGGTGACACACGAGTCAACCCACCCCAGAAAAGCTGAGGGAGAGAGACCTTGGTGGGGTCGGATTGGAGATGAGGTTGGAATAAAGTCAGTTCATTACTTCACTTGACACAGTGTCTTGTCTCCAAAACTTCTACCTCCTTCCAGGTTGACAGATCTGGTTTCTTCCTCCCTGGGTAGGCCAGACACAGGGCTGAGCTGGGTGACAGGCGAGGGTGCACAGGCCAGCAGAGGTCACAGGCCCTTGCTCTCCTTGGGCAGGTGCTGCTCATGGCTGGCCTCTGCCCACAAAGGAATTAGTGGTAGATGGATAATGGAGTCGTGAAGTGCTGGGGGGATTCTGTGTAGAGCTTGGGGATACAGATGGGTACAGTTGCCACTGGCTACAAATCTAACACCAGGTGTTTCTGGCCTAGTCCTCTGTCCGAGATGGCACATACTTAAAGACAGCAAAGATGGCGCGTACCTAAAGACAGAAAAGATGCAAGGACTGTTTTGACACAGGCATGGGTTCAAGAAATACTTCCCTTTCTTCTTTGCTGTACTTTAAACACCAAAAACACTAGAAGCAAGCAATGATGAATGGCAACGCATGCTTGGTCAGGAGCTGATGGGATGAGTGGCCACGGTAAGTTGGGAGTTCTGGCTCTGGCCCAGCTCCCAACAACTGCGACTTTCTGAGAGCCTAGGTGGACTTGCAAAATCTTTGGATTTTTCTAGAGATGTCAGAAACCTGGATTTTGGTGTAAAATAACCTTTTAAATCTTCACCACTAATTGTTATCACTTAAAAACACTGCCTGGGCCCAAATCAATACAGCAACTGCAGGCCAGATCCAGTACAGGGCCACTGGTTTTTTAAGTTGTGCAGCAAAAAGACAATGAAGGCCAGTGCGGTGGCTCCCCTGTAATCCCAGCACTTTGGGAGGCCAAGGTGGGCAAATTGCTTGAACCCAGGAGTTTGAGACCAGCCTGATCAATATAGTGGGAACCCCATCTCTGCAAAAAAACTAAAACTTAGCCAGGCGTAGTGTAGCCCACCTGTAGTCTCAGCCATCTGAGAGGCTGGGGCAGGAGGATTCCTTGAGCCCAGCAGGTCTAGGCTGCAGTGAGCCCAGTTCACACCACTGCATTCCAGCCTGGGTGATGAGCAAGATGCTGTCTTAAAAATATGTAAATAAATAAACAGACAATGGGTATTGTGCTGTGGGAGGGTCAAAGAATAAAAAAGAAAAGGCCAGGTGAGGTGGCTTACGCCTGTAATCCCAGCACTTTGGGAGGCAGAGGTGGGTGGATCACCTGAGGGCAGGAGTTCGAGACCAGCCTAGCCAACATGGTGAAACCCCATCTCTACTAAAAATACAAAAATTAGCCAGGCATAGTGTGCCTGTAATTCCAGCTACTCAGGTGGCTGAGGCAGGAGAATCGATTGAACCCAGGAGGCGGACATTGCAGTGAGCGAAGATTGCACCATTGCACTTCCAGCCTGGGCAACAACAGCAAAACTCCATCTCAAAAAATTAAAAAAGTAAAAAGAAAAAACAGAGAAAACAAGGTTCTCCTCTACCTCAATCCTCTTAGCACCTTTGGGAGGAGAAACAGCTTTTGCTTCCCGGTATGGAGGTCTGGGGGGTTCTCACCTCAGCCCTGCCTCAGCAAAGGTGGCCTTGGAGAGCCCAGGGCATCGGGGAGCAAGGTGCTGGCAGAAGAGGCTGTTGAGTGCCCACGTTCAGAATGTCCACACCCCAGGCCAGCTCTTGCCGTGGATTCTGGGACCTCCCTGCAGGCCGCTGCAGAGGTTCGGGCCCCTGAGCCCATCTCGGGCCTCCCGCAATGTCTAGATAGTCACTTTTGAGGCCTTCATCCACATTCCTGGAATATCTCTGGGTACAGCTGGAAGCCCACGGGTGGGTCCAGGTCCCCGCGGCCAGGGGTCAGGGTCACAGACAGCCCCCCAGGGCGCCGGCCCCTGCGCCCCTCGCCCCCTGGCCGATGGACCCACTGGTGCTTGGCCATGCCAGTCTTCAGGCCGAAGCAGCGGCCACACTGTGGGCACCGGTAGGGCTTCTCGCCGGTGTGGACGCGCAGGTGTGAAGTCAGAGCCGTGCGGCGCATGAAGGCCCTGCCACACTCAGAACAGCGGTGGGGCCGCTCCCCGCGATGGATGGCCCGGTGTTTGCTCAGGGAGGAAGCGTGGCCAAAGCCCTTGCCGCAGTCTGCGCAGTAGAAGGGCTTCTCGCCCCTGTGGCTGTAGATGTGCTCCACCAGCGTGGAGCGCCAGGCGAAGCTCTTCCCGCACACGTAGCAGCCGTGACGCTGGTCCGCTCGGGGGACAGGGGGGTGGACAAAAAAGCGAGGGCGACTCCGGCGCCGCGCCTTGGACAGCTGCTCCAACCTGGTAAAGGGGGCTTGGGAAACCTTCAGCCCAGGAGACCCGGCGGTCACAGGGACAGGCTTCTCCAGGGCTCCCATCCCTTCCCTTTGTCTTTCCTCTTCCTCGTTTCTGGAATCTGCTGGGAGATAAAGACAAGAGAGTTCAGGCTCGGCTCATCCTGGTCCTTGAATCCCACAGCCCGCATGGACAGGGACAGGCCTGCTGGACCCCCGGCTGCCCCTGGGAGATAGAGCAGTGACACCTGTTCCTCGGCTGCTGAGCCAGACAGAGCCAGGAGGGAGAAACAGTCCATTCCGCCTCGAGACTGGGGAAATGTCACCGCATGGAAGGGCAGAGATGACATGAACATCTGGGCCTGATCCAGAAGGAGGAGCGGACACCTGGAGATATTCTAGGCAGAAGGAACAGCACCAAGAAAGGCAGAACCAGGCGGGCATGGCCAAGTTCAGTGGGGCTGGATACTCTGCAAAGGCTGAGGCAAGAACTGAAGGAAGGAAATGGGAGGGCGGGGTGGGGGGCGCCTAGGGGGCATAGGAACCATCGTGCAGGAAAACGACTGGGGCGGGTCATGATGTGGAGGTAGAGCCAACGGAACTTAGAGGCCGGGCGTGGTGGCTCATGACTGTGATCCCAGTGCTTTGGGAGGCCGAGATAGAGGATGGCTAGAGTTCGAGATCAGCCTGGGCAACACACCAGGACCTCCACCTCTTTAAAAAAATTTTTTTAATTAAAAAAAAACAGCCAGGCGTGGTGGCTAGTGCCTTTACAGTCTTAGGTACTCTGGAGGCCCAGGCGGGAGGATTGCTTGATCCGATTGCTTGAGCCCGGGAGTTCGAGGCTGCAGTGAGCTATGATGGCACCACTGCACCTCAGTCTGGGCAACAGAGACCCTATCTCTAAAGCAAAACAAAAAAGCCCCCAGAGTGTAGTGACCACGCAGAGGTGAGGACTTAGAGGCGGGTATGGCAGGGCCAGAGCCCCCATCACAGCCCCTTTCTAGGCTGCATCCGGGGCCAAGGCAAGGTCTCACCCTGCTGGCCGTAGTTGAGAAGGCAGTTCAGAGAGGAAACTGCTAAGCAGGTAGCTGGAGGTGGCAGAGGAAACCGGGATGGGACAGGAACAGAGAAGTCCCCATGGGACTTAGCACCCGATACTCCACCTGGGTCCGTTTCTGTCGGACACTTCGTCACCTCCGGATCCCGGGCAGCTGGATCCCATAGTTCGGCCTCCTCCTCCACCCAGGAGATGAGCGCCGGCTTGCTGCCTCCGACTCCTGGGGGAGAAGAACGCAAACCCCACGCTGCGGGGAGGCCGCCTGCCCGGCCCCGGGACCCCCAACTCCACGCGCAGCTCCCAGAGGCGCGGCAGGGCGTGTGGGGGCGCAGGGCCCAGGTGAGCAGGTGGGGCTCTCACCGAGCGCGCCCAGGTGGCCGTAGGTCTCCCGCATCACGTCCCGGTACAGGGCCCTCTGCGCGGGTCGTAGGCAGCCCCACTCCTCCCGAGAGAAGTACACGGCCACGTCGGCGAAGCTTACGGTCCCGGGCTTTCTCCACTCGGGTACTGCCCCGTTTGGATCCCGAGAAGGGAGCGGGGCCAGAGGCGGCGCCATGGGGACTGTCAGCCCCAGCGACGAATCGGTCACCTCCCCTGGCCGGGCCTGGGCATACGGAACCTCCCGCGCCCGAGAACGCCTCCCCGGCCCAGTCCCAAGGGAAGGAGGGAGGTCACTATAATCCCCGAGGGGATGGAAACTAAGGGCCGATGGCTGCGAGTCCATAGTCAGAACTGGACTATTTCTTCAAAAAAAACTGCGGCTGCGCGACCTCTCGACCGTTGCCCCTGCGCAATTGTACCCAGGACGACGCCCCCCGCCCCCACCCCCAGGCAGCGTTCTCTCCATGCCCTAATCCAAAATGGCCGTTGCGGCTACAGGCGCCGGCCTTGAAAACCAACCGAGTATGCTCTGGCCCCGCCCGGTGAGGCCGCACAGCTCAGAGCTCAGCCCGGGTTTGCAGAAACAAAGGAGCCTCCCACGGAAGGGAACCGTCGTGAACTCAGAAGTTAGTTTTCGTCCCAGGACCTTTTTAGAATCGGGCTCCAGCCCATCACCCTCTCGTTTTGTCCTCAGGAACGGCGGCAGCAGTCTCTTCCCAATGTTGAGAGCAAAAAGTGTGAACCCAGAAATTCCGAGATAGATCTCAATTTCTTGCCAAGGTTGACGACACGCGCGTGACAGCCTCAGGAAGTCCTCACGACATGTGCCCAAGGTGGTCGGGACACAGCTTAGTTTTATACATTTTATGGAGACATGAGACATCAATCAGTGTATGTAAGTACATTGGTTCTGTCTGGAAAGGCGGGACAACTTGAAGCAAAGGCAGGAAGACTCGAAGCAGGGAGGGGCTTCCAGGAAACAGAAGGTGAGGCACAAACGGTTGCGTTCTTTGGAGTTTCTGATTAGCGTTTCCAGAGGATGCAATCAGATATCCATCTATGTCAGCCAGCAAAGGGGTGACTTTGAATAGAATGGGAGGCAGGTTGGCCCTAAGCAGTTCCCAGCTTGACTTTTACCTTTAGGGTAGTGATTTGGGGGCCCCAAGATTTATTTGCCTTTCACAAAAGCCATGGAGTGGATACAGGAGACCCTCCTCTATTGTAGGCTTGTTGGAGCTTGAAATCCTTGGAGCTTCTAGATGGCGGAAGCAGCCAGGAGAGTAGGGTAAGGTTGAGAAAGTCAGAGGGTCCTCTCTTCTAGGAGTTTCTCCCATGTGCTGTGCAGGACGCCTCCCGACCGCCGGTCTCCCTCTAGCTGCAGCCAGGCTCTCGGCTCCCCTCAGGTCCTGCCCCTACGCGGATGGCCCAAGACTCCTCCGCTCAAAACCAGCTCATCCCTTTCTTACCCCAACCTGCTTTCCCTGGGATCTTTATGTCAGTAAATGTCGCCAGCTCTCCCACCAGACCTCCGTCTCACACTTCCTGATGGCCTACTCTGTGCTCCACCTGACTTCATACATGTCCTGTGTACTGGAGTCAGAGTAATCTCCAAGGCGCCTTTTAGCTCTTAGTGGGCTCTTTAGTTGAATCTAGGCCTAGATTGAGAATCGTCTGTAATCCTATCTACTGGGAGGTCGAGGCACGAGCATCTCTTGAGTCCAAGAGAATGAGATCCACCTGCTCAACTTAGGAGACCCTGTCTCAAAAATAAATAAGAAAAAAGGAAAGAATACAAATTGTATCTGTTTTACATGTACTCAGGGATCTTCACAAGACAGAGCAGTCAGAAAAAATGGCTGAAGCCAAGTTTTGCTTTTATATTTCTTTTTTTTTTTTTTTTTTTTCCAGAGACAAGTGAACATTTATTTTTATGGCTTTCTTCCTATGTGTATTTCAAGTCTTTTTCAAAACAAGGCCCCAGGACTCTCCAGATTCAGTTATGTCCTTGGGCTTGGTCGGCTGCTGCAGGAGCCTTAAGGAGCCTTTTACAAATGCTAGAGTTACTCATTTATCAACATTAAACCCTAGGATAGATGCAACGGAGCAAGACTCCTTCCTCCATGGAATGTGCTGATTTCAGATGACGTGGCACCCAATGTAGAAAATGCTGGAATTTTTCCTTGGAACTGCACTGTGATGAGAAGTGCTTGCCATGAACATAAGCTACTGTCTTTTCTTTTCTTTTTTTGAGACGGAGTTTTGCTCTCGTTGCCCAGGCTGGAGCGCAATGGTGTGATCTCTGCTCACCACAACCTCCGCCTCCCAGGTTCCAGCGATTCTCCCACCTTAGCCTCCCGAGTAGCTGGGATTACAGGCATGCGCCACCACGCCCAGCTAATTTTTATATTTTTACTAAAGACGGCGTTTCTCCATGTTGGTCAGGCTGGTCTCAAACTCCTGACCTCAGGTGATACGCCCTCCTCAGCCTCCCAAAGTGTTGGGATTATAGGCTTGAGCCATCGCGCCTGGCCAGCTACTGTCTTTTCAGTTTTTGAAGATAAAGCAGGAAATAATCTCTGAAGTACTTGATAAAAATTCCCAAAACAACAAAAACACATGCTTCCACTTCACTGATAAAAATTTATCGCAGTTTGGCACCTGAGTCTAGTTCAGCTGACAGATGAGCTGATTGATGCATTCACCCTGATAACCAGGTGTGCCCATCTCCTTGAGGAAGCCCACTCTATTTTTGGTAGCATCTTGGGCCACTGAGAGGTGGAAAGGACGCAAGAACCATGAGAGCTCCTGGAAATGCTTCCCTGGGAAGGCAATTTAATGAATGAGGTCTTCCAAGCAAATGACACCAAACTTCCCCAGGTCCTCCTCAATCACTGTGTTGTCTGTCAGACGGATGGTCTTCCTCTTCTTTTTTTTTTTTTTTTTTTTTTGAGACAGAGTTTTACTCTGTCGCCCAGGCTAGAGTGCAGTGGCGTGATCTCGGCTCACTGCAAGCTCTGCCTCCCAGGTTCACGCCATTCTCCTGCCTCAGCCTCCCGAGTAGCTGGGACTACAGGTGCCCGCCAACTTGCCTGGCTAATTTTTTGTATTTTTAGTAGAGATAGGGTTTCACCGTGTTAGCCAGGATGGTCTCGATCTCCTGACCTCGTGATTCACCCGCCTCGGCCTCCCAAGGTGCTGGGATTACAGGCATGCGCCACCACACCTGGCCGATGGTCTTATTCTTGACCTTGGCTGGTCCGTGTTTCAAAATGAGTTCCCAGACAGACTTCAGATTTGGAAATCCTCAGGTCACATAAGGTTCCACTATACGTAGCGTTTTTAGGTTCTAGGGGGTGACTTTTTACAAAGACACCACTAAAAATTTTCTTTAGGCGAAGTCTTGCAATGGTTCTCTGCACCAGTAAACTCACACCATCAATCCTTTTGATGCATACAACAAAGGCCAAGGAATGTTTATCTAGCAATTCCAAGGCATGAGGTTTCGCTTCTAGTCGTCTGAGATGCACCTTGTCACGTTTCTCCTGCCAGGAATCATGTAGGAATGATTCCAGTCGCTTAAACCTGAGCCCTTTTCCTTTCCTCTGCTCCTTCTTTGCCAAAAGTGCCTGCTTTGCCTGGGTGGCTTTGAGGGCTTGATAAGACCTCCTATTTTTCAGGAGATTTTCTGGAACCAAAAGGATTTTTCTTTGCTCTTGCTCCGCCATCTTTCTAGTGGTGCAGCTACTGATCATTTTCTTTCTTTTGTTTCTTTCTTTCTTTCTTTCTCTTTCTTTTCTTTTCTTTTCTTTTCTTTCTTCTTCTTTTTTTTGACGAAGGCTCGCTTTGTCGCCCACGCCACTGCGCCCGGCCTATATTTCTTAAAGAACTATAATTTTTATTTTTTTTTATTTTTTTGAGATGGAGTTTCGCTCTTGTTGCCCAGGCTGGAGTGCACTGGCGCGATCTCGGCTTACTGCAACCTCTGCCTCCCGGGTTCAAACGATTCTCCTGCCTCAGCACCCTGGATAGTTGAGACTACAGGCATGCACCACCACAGCCAGCTAATTTTGTATTTTTAGTAGAGATAGGGTTTCACCATGTTGGTCAGGCTGGTCTTGAACTCCTGACCTCAGGCAATTCACCCACCTTGGCCTCCCAGAGTGCTGGGATTACAGGTGTGAGCCACTGCGCCCGGCCAAGGACAATAAATTTTAAAAGAAATGACAGGACAAAGAAAATCGGGCTAGGGCAGTACAATTTTCAAGGGGAGATCTATGTTGGGGGGAGGGTGTGAAACAGGTGGAAGATATGGATTACTTTGTTATGTGTGTTTATTCTGGTCCCTTGTGGACTCTAAGGGCTATTTTCTCACCCTGGGGAGCGGAGGCAAAAAGTTTGGGAGGGGCATAAGGATTCAGTGTTGCCCAGGGGGTGTGGTCCCAGCCCTAGGTCTCCCAGGCTCTCAGGCCTCTGAAGGACACAAGAGAAAACTGAAAACTTCCCTTAAGAGCAATGACATTTCTTCTCTTACAGTGCCCACCCCTCAGCGTGGTGCCTATCACCCACAGTCTGGAAGAGCTCTGGGAGGTGCTGGAAGCTCCTGTGGGGGTCTGGACTCTCCTGGGAAAGAACCAGGGGCAGAGTTCACAATCCTGGAGGTCAGCCTCTGAGGCCCATGTCACCAGGCCAGTGGATCCACTGAATGGCCCCTGGCTCAAGCATTGCCAGCAGTGGGGACAGGCGAAGGAGCACAGGCCCGCTGGGCAGCAGGAAGCAGGGGTGGACCTCGCTGTGGGAGAAGTGGGTGCTGTACCAGCTGCGGGAAAAAGGTCGCTCCCCGGAGTACCTGGGGCCTGGCTGAAGGTACTGGCGAAGTGGGGCTGCACTGGGGACAGGAATGAGGTACTGGGTGAATACCAGATGTTGATGCTGGGCAGAGACTGCAGGTTTGGGGAAGGTCTGGCTGCAGGGAGCCTTGGCCAAAAGCTCAGAGACCAGGTCAGTGTTTCTGATGCCAAGGGCTTATGACAGCTCCCAAATAGACTCCTGCTGGTCCCTTCCAAATGTGTTATTTTTCTGAGCAGCCATTGGGAAACTGCTGATTCAAAACTTACCTCTTGCCTTGTCAACTCCCCAAGGCCTACTCATATTCAACCTTCACAACAGCAGCATTCAGATGGGTACCCCTGAGAGCCACCCTCATCCCCCACCCCCAGACAGTGCTGGCCAACTGAGGAGCTCACCAGGCAGTGACATTCCCGCATGCCTCAAGGCCAACCAGAGGAGCTGCCATCAACCACACAGGCAGCTGTTCCAGGGCCCAGGGGCCTGGAGAGAGAAAGGTGAACTTTCTTCATCCTAAACTTGAATTCACGCACTACCACTGAATGGGCCGATTCATAGCATGGCCTGACTGTAGTCCCATGGAATGTCACCAGTCAAATTAAGTGCTGGGCGTGGTGCCTCATGCCTGTAATCCCAGCACTTTGGGAGGCCAAGGAGGGTGGATCACCTGAGATTAGGAGTTCAAGAGCAGCCTGGCAAACATGGTGAAACCCCATCTCTACTAAAAATACAAAAATTAGCTGGGTGTGGTGGCACATGCCTGTAATCCCAGCTACGCCAGAGGCTGAGTCAGGAGAATGGCGCGAACCCGGGAGGCAGAGGTTGCAGTGAGCCGAGATCACACCACTGCACCCGAGCCTTGGTGACAGAGTGAGACCTTGTCTTTAAAAAGAAAAGAAAAAAAAAAAGGCCGAGCACGGTGGCTCACACCTGTAATCTCAGCACTTTGGGAGGCTGAGGCAGGCCAATCAACTGAGGTCGGGAGTTTGAGACCAGTCTGACCAACATGGAGAAACCCCATCTCTACTAAAAATACAAAATTAGCCAGTCATGATGGCGCATGCCTGTAATCCCAGCTACTCAGGAGGCTGAGGCAGGAGAATCACTTGAACCCGGGAGACGGAGGTTGTGGTGAGCTAAGATTGCACCATTGCACTCTAGCCTGGGCAACAAGAGCAAAACACTATCAAAAAAAAAAAGAAAAGAAAGAAAAAAAGAAAGAAAGAAGGAAAGGGAAAAGAAGCCCAGTCTGGGCCAGGTGTGGTGCCTCACACCTGTAATCCCAGCACTTTGTGAGGCTGAGCTGGGGCAGATCCCCTGAGGTCAGGAGTTCATGACCAGCCTGGCCAACATGGTAAAACCATGTCGCTACTAAAAATAAAAATAAAAATTAGCCAGGTGTGGTGGCAGGTGCCTGTAATCCCAGCTACTCGGGAGGCTGAGGCAGGAGAATCACTTGAACCTGGGAGGCGGAGGCTGCAGTGAGCAGAGATCGCTCTACTGCCCTCCAGCCTGGTCAGCAGAGCGAGACTGTCTCAAAAAAAAAAAAAAAAAAAAAAAATTTGTAGCAGGACGAGCCTCAGACAAGAACCCCTCAGACACCGAATTGTCAAAGAAAGGGCTTTATTCAGCTGGGAGCATCAGCGGACTCACATCTCCAAAAACCAAGCTCCCCAAGTAAGCAATCCCTGTTCCTTTTAAGGGTTCACAACTATAAGGGGGTCTGCATGAGGGGGTCATGATCGACTGAGCAAACAGTGGGTAGTGACAGGGAGCTGCATGCACCAGTAATCAGAAAGGAACAGAACAGGACTGGGATTTTTTTACAATGCTTTTCCATACAATGTCTGGAATCTATAGATAACACAAGCAGTCAGGTCGGGGGTTGTTTTTTTTTTTTTTTTTTTTTTTTTGAGTTGGAGTCTTGCTCTGTCACCCAGGCTGGAGTGCAGTGGTGCGATCTCGGCTCACTGCAACCTCCGCCTCCCAGATTCAAGCAATTCTCCTGCCTCAGCCTCCTGAGTAGCTGGGACTACAGGTGCCCGCCACCACACCCGGCTAATTTTTTGTATTTTTGGTAGAGACGGTGTTTCACTGTGTTGGCCAGGATGGTCTCGATCTCCTGACCTCGTAATCCACCCGCCTCGGCCTCCCAAAGTGCTGGGATTACAGGCGTGAGCCACCGCGCCTGGTCTAGGGGTTGATTTTTAACTACCAGGCCCAGGGTGCGGTGCTGGGCTATCTGCCTGTGGATTCCATTTCTGCCTTTTAGTTTTTACTTCTTCTTTCTTTGGAGGCAGAGACGGGGCATAAGACAATATGAGGGGTGGTCTCCTCCCTTAAAGTGAGAAAGAAAAGGTCAAGATCCCAGGCTCCAGGAAATGTAATAAATTCAGGTCAGCAAAAATGAGTCACACCAGGAGCAAGGAACATATAAGTAGCGTTTCTTCCTGAACAAAATATTCCTCTTCCAGCTGGGGCTGAGACGTCAGCCGCTTTTGTCCCCTTTCTGCCTTTCTCTCAGGCTTCCTCCTTCCTGGGGATCCTGGGCATTTTGACCTCACAGCTGGGCCTCCTCCTACTCTCAGAAGATGAGGATGTAAGGTCAGCTGAGAGAAAGGAAAAATAGACCTAAAGTTAGGCAGGCAAGTTTTCATTAACCTGCCAGCTGCTCCCCTAATAGAGAAGCAGCAGCCCCAAGCTTACAGAATGACGGGTTTATATTGGGGAGGGGAGTTTGAGGGAGTTCTTTGGTATGGCCACATCCTGGGTTGTTTGCTGGTTAATTTTGCTACGTGTTACCTTGTGACATCTATTACAGGAGGGTGAAGGTAAAGTTTATGTTTCCCACGACCTCCCCCATCAGGTGTGGGTGGTTTGTAATTGGGATTTGCTTATTGCAGCAAGGTCTGACAAGTGAAGTCTGCTGGCTTCACTGTAGCACCTAGATAAGGGCTTAGAAATATAAAGAGGCTTGGGGGAAGGGTGGGCAGCACCAAGAAGCTTTCTTGGGCATTTTGTCCCTAACATTCCAGCCTTTTAATAGGTAATAGAAGAGGGGCGCCATTGTCTGGCTGCTTCTTGCTGGGAAGGGGCGATGGTTGTTGGGGAAGGCTGGATGGAAGGGATTGCTGTTTTTGGAGCCATTGGTATTCCTGGAGCGGCATTATATCTTGTCTTGCCCCGTAGGTAAAGGCTCTGATATGGTCCTATAAAAACTGGGCGAGAAGGTGTAAGAGACAAGGGCCAAATGCTAGAAAAAGAAAAATGGTTATGGCCGGGCCTAGGCGGGTCAAGCCATGGAAACTAGGTATTAAAAGACCAGGAGGGCCACACTAGCCATCGAGGGATGTTTTCTTTAATTTTTTGTCCTCGGTCCTTTAGTCTTTTTACAGCATGTTGTACTAAGCCAGATTAGTTAAGATAAAAGCAACACTGTTCATCTAGAAAAGGGCAGTTTTTCGACTGTGAGTAGATGTAAGTTTCTGTGGTTTTGAAGAACCATCGCTGCTAAATAACTTATTTGTGATTGGAGAGTTGTAACGGATTTGGCTGTTTTTTCCAAGCTATTTGTGAGGTCTTTGGAGAGGGATTGGTAATAGGAAACAGAGGTGGTTAATCCTGCAACCCCAGTTCCAACTCCTGTAGTTATTCTGAGGTCTACTCATAGAGGTATGAGTTGTATAGCATGGTGGTGTCAGACAGGGGTATTAACGGGGATTGGTAGGGGTTGGTCTCCTGAGGCAACGTTGATTTTTGGATTGAGGAAAACCAGGCTGCAGGTGCCCATCCAGTTAGATGGGAGGCAAATATAAGTTGAGGTACTGCATAGGAAAAGTATGCCTTGGTCTGGTAGACAGAACTGGTTGTGTATGCTAAAAATATATACTATTTTGTTATT